GTTTCGTGTTGCTGCTGATCTGTTTCGTGTTGCTGCTGATCTGTTTCATGTTGCTGCTGATCTGTTTCATGTTGCTGCTGATCTTTTTCATGTTGTTGCTGATCTGTTTCATGTTGTTGCTGATCTGTTTCATGTTGCTGCTGATCAGTTTCATGTTGCTGCTGATCTGTTTAATGTTGCTGCTGATCTGTTTCATGTTGCTGTGTTCGTTCGTGCTCATCTGCTCACAGACTCATGTTCATGTTCGTGCTGCTGTTCGACGTAATGTTTTTATGCTATTAGTGTATATTTAGTTGATGTTTTTCTTAGTTCATATTTTAGATGTTATTACTGTTTTTCTTATACATTTTATTGTTGGATGTAACTGGGACCCTGTGAACATAATTTCGCTCCACCACATGAGGTGCGAATGACAATAAAGAAACTGACTCTGAAACCTCTGATGGGCTGCAGCCCAGCCCTGCAGGTAAGGGGCATTTACCTTTGGGACAAATTGAGGTTGCCGATTGGTCATTTGCTTACACGCCTACTGGATTGATTGACAGGTTGCATCGCAAATCCGACTCGTGGAGAGAGAAAAAAAGCAAAAATGGAGAGCTGCCGCCAGCCCTGGGTAGACTTAGGGCAGCCCAGGAGCAGCGGTGTTCTGTGTTTATATGTTGTTAATAGAAATTCTAAAAAAAAGAACCGAAGCGCCGGCCCTACAGCCCACACATCAGACCAGCCCACCAGGAAATCTCCAGACCTTCCCGATTAGCCACGCTGGGCCTCTACCAGAGTCATGTAGCCCGACTTGTTCCCCTCCTGGATGAGCCCCAACATGTTGGCATCGTCAGTATATTTAATAACGGTGGTGTTGTGCTGGGTGGAGACACAGTCATAAGTGTACAAGCTAAAGAGTTTAGGGCTGACGCAACAGCTTGCTGCACAAATTGTGTGTGTTGGATCATTTTGAACATCTGTGCACCTGATGTTTCCACAGGCTGCTGGAATACCTGCAGGCGATGAGGAACTACTTTTTGTTGGAAGCTGGAGACACCATGTACGACTTTTACACAGCCATCTTTGATAAGGTGCAGGAGAAGGAGATCTGGCAGCAGCCCTCGTTTCTCAATGTGCTGCTGCAGGAGGCAGTTGGACATCGCCACCCGGAGGACAGCAGCCGGTACTGCATGCCCTCAGCAGTGACTAATCTGATGTTATGTGGAAACTGTTACTCAAACTGAAAGTCACCATTTTATATTCATAGATTATCAGTACTTTTGGAGAACATTGACCCCTCTAGAAAAAAGCATCCAGTGAATAATTTAGAGGCTCTTACCCTGAGTTACAAGGTAAAGCGTGTAAATGTGTTAGTTTGGTTCATATTTCTGCTTCTTGAAATGATCGTGGTGATCTTTGCTTGGTTTTCTCTCCACAGGTTCCCTGGCCTGTTGATGTTGTGATCAGCTCAGAGTGCCAGAAGATTTACAATCAAGTGTTTCTCCTCCTGCTGCAGATTAAATGGGCTAAATACAGTTTGGATGCGCTTCGATTCAGTGGTACATTCTTGGATTAAAACTGAAAGGAACTGATGCATGAAAATAATTACCGGAATTCTTGGGCTACAAGACACACCTGTCTCTAAGCCGCACATATTAAAATAAGATAAATTATAATTTTGTACATATATAGGACGCTACGGTTATTTAACCACGAGCATCCACCGCTCATCGTCGGGAACATTGCAACATTCTCAACAATGTTTCTAAACGCTCTAAAAGAGCAGAGAATGTGATGATTTCAGCGCCCTGTCTCGTCTGCTCTTTGCCCCCTGCGAGTGTTCTTGGACACGCCCACTTCTCCTCCACATGAGGTTACCTGAGGTCATTCTCTCTGCGTCACCAACACCTGCCCCCAGGAGAGACAGGGTGCTGGGAGCCACGAGCGCCCAGCTCTGTCAAAGGAAAATGTTAGTCAGCGGCAGGAAGTTATCGAGAGTCAGAGTCAGAGTTTCTTTATTGTCATTCGCACCTCATGTGGTACATGTGGTGGAGCGAAATTATGTACACGGGGTCCCAGTTACATCCAACAATAAAATGTCTAAGAAAAACAGTAATAACATCTAAGATATGAACTAAGAAAAACATCAACTAAATATACACTAAGCACTCCTATCATAACAGAGACGGCAGGAAGTCTGTCAAAATAAAATATAAAAATATAACGTTTGAAGATTATTTTAAAAAATGCGTAAATAAGACGCTCCTGCTTATAAACTGCAGGGTACAAAGTGTGAGAATAAAGTAGTGGCTTATACACAGGCAATTATGGTATTCTCTTAGATTTTCAAACTGAAATTTTAAGGATCTTGGTTAACGGTATAAATTTGGATTGCAAATTAAAGCTCCTTTACAAAAACACATGCATGTATGTATGATGAGTTTATGGTCAAGAATGATGAGTCCTGTCTTTCATACACGGTTCTTTTAGATTTTACAGGCATTAAAAAGAAACTGGAAGAATCTTCAGCTGAGGAAGTAAACACGAAGGAACCAGTAAACCACCAGATTCACAGAATGTGTCTGCTGCGAGTTAAACTCATGCATTTTGTCAACAGTCTTCACAACTACATCATGACCAGAGTAAGCAGATATTTTCAGAATTTATTAAAGTATTATTTTTACGGGACTAAAAATAAAAATGCCTTCATTTCATTTAGAGCTGATTTTACATGAGTCATTTGGTTAAATCATTTTTAGCCCTTAGTGATCTTTCTGTTTTGGTGCTCTGTAACCTGGGATTTAAATGGATTTGCAATTTGATAATAAGTAATACCTACACAAAACTCATTATATTATTGGGGAAAAAATGCTTTAAATCATTTAAAAATTACAAAGCTGTAAATGGTGTTTATATCCTCCAAATAAAGAAAAGCTTTGTGGAGTCACCTTTTGCAGCAGTAAGTCTCAGGTTCATCTCCATGAGCTTTGTACATCAAGTCAATGGAGTTTTTGCTCTGTCTTTAACTCGACCCATTTTTCAGTCTGTCAAGGATAAACACCCCCACATCATGATGCTGCTACTGCCATGCTTTTAGCACAACGCTGATAGGTTTGTACCAAACATGTTGTCTTTGGTGGACAGAAAGATCATTTTTAGTCTGTGTTCAGGGTTTGGGATTTACTTTCAGGGTTTTCACTACCATTATTTAAGAAGGGCGCCCCGCCTACCAAGTCCCCTACCCCCACGCAGCTCCGCCACTTCCAGACGGGGAGCAGAGGTTATAGCAGCTCAGCTCAGACTCTAAACTGCTCGCAATACAAACGTAACGCTCTATTTCTCTCACAAACACCCCACCCCCGTTGACAAAAAAACCCTAAGACACGAGCGCCCTCCCAAGGCAAGTAACCTAGGGGTAACACTGACTTTTTTTATATACTACCCCCGATCTATATTCCTTCATATCTTTGTTTCTGACCTGTGTGGAGAATTTTTTGGACTTCATGATGCTTCTTTCTAAGCCTCTGTGTTGAATCATTTTTTATACTAAGCCTGTTATACTGAGCCTACAAACCTTTTTTCATTTGTTGTACTGTTTCAGATATACATTGATAGGCTGATATCTTTAAAGTAAAATAAAAATGTATGTGCATTTCTGCATTATTATAGGGTTAAACAGTGTCTTTGGTATTTGTAAAGACTAAGATTGATTGACTTGCAGTCATTTATGAAGGCACATCATTCTGTTACAGTGTATTGTAGGTCAAACAAACCATACCAGAAGAATTCTCCATTCCAAATTGATTTTTATAACACAAGGAAACGTTTTCAAGACACTTCTTAAAATTTAAATTCATTCTTGCGTCTGCTGACTGAAATATGTGTCCCTTATGTCTTGACAGATTTTGCACAGTACAGGACTGGAGTTTCAGCACCAAGTTCAGGAAGCTAAAGACCTGGATCAGCTGATCAAGATCCACTACAGATATTTGGCAACTATCCATGACCGCTGCCTGTTGAGGGAAAAGGTAAATAAGCTGAGTTGAGGTGAAAGGATGCGTGTCTACAGGAGCAAAATTAAAACTTGTAAAAATGTATTTTTTCATTCATTCAGCCTTTATGTAGACAGGTAAATCCCATTGAGCCTCAAGGACTCATTTACAAGAGAGACCTGATTTCAACAAAGAAAGATGACAACAGTGTACAACAGCGACAACACTAGACAGTTATAAGAGGCATACAGATATATATATATATATATATATATATATATATATATATATAATTTTTTTTTTATTTTTTATTTTTTTTTTTACAAATTAAAATAAGATGACAAAAAAGTAACAACAGCTAGATTATAAGGCGACTGTAGAAAACTAAAAACAGGAACATGTCTGCATTGGTCCCTGCCAGGAGTCCAACAGATTCTTAAAGCCACTTAGAGAGGTCAAGGTCGAGAGCTTCAGGTCTTTTTACAAGATATTCCAGGAAACAGGAGCGGAGTAGGAGAAGGTCCTTTTGTCTAGTTCAGTCCTCATTGAGGGAACACTGCAGGTAATGATGTCCTGAGAGCGCACGCTGTAGCTGCACTCACACAGAGACATGGAGGAGATGTATGAAGGCAGCAGACCAAGGAGTGATTTAAAGATGAAAATGTACCAGTGAGAGAGTCTGCGTGAAGTTAATGGTGACCAGTTAACCAGTGAATACTGGGTGCAGTGGTGGGTACGGTAGTCACAGCCAGTTATGAATCTTAGTGCACCATGATAGACAGCATCCAACATCTGCAGCATCCAACATCTGCAGGGTTCTTGTAGGAGCGTTCATGTAAATAATGTCACCGTAATCAATGGAGGGAAGGAAAGTCACAGATACAAGGCGTTTCCTAACATTCAGGGTTAGACAGGATCTGTTTCTGAAAAAGAAACCCAGTTTAATCCAACAATTTTCAGTCAGGTCATCTGGACAGTTTCTTTTTTTGCTGAAATGTTTCTCCTTCCATCCGGAAGACTTCATCAGTCAAGGAAACACACAACACAAAACTGATTCTTCCCCCAAGCAGCTTACTCCAAAGTGGAACAAACCTGTTATGTTGGCGCTAAGATGGTGTTTTTGGCACGCCCCCTACTCTGGTGCCAGCCCTCTTCTTCATCGACAGGCATGTCAAACTGGTTCAAAACCAAACATGTCCATGCTCAATAATCCAGGTATACAATCCAACAATTTTCAGTCAGGTCATCTAGACAGTCTCTTTTTTTGCTGAAACTTTTCACCTTCCATCCGGAAGGCTCATCAGTCAAGGAAACACACAACACAAAACTGATTCTTCCCCCAAACATCCATCCATCCATTATCTTACGCTTATTCCATAGTCGGATCGCGGGGGCAGCATTTTGAGCAGGGAGGCCCAGACATCTCTTTCCACAGCCTCTTCCAGCTCTTCTGGGAGGATTCCAAGGCGTTCCCAGGCCAACCGAGAGACATAGTCTCTCCAGCGTGTCCTGGGTCTTCCCCGGGGTCTCTTCCCAGTTGGACATGCCTGAAGCACCTCCCTAGGGATGCGCCCAGAGGCATCCTTACCAGATGCCCGATCCACCTCAACTGGCTCCTCTCTACGTGAAGGAGCAGCGGTTCTACTCAGAGTCTCTCCCATATAACTGAACTTCTCACCCTATCTCTAAGGGAAAGTTAATTCAATTAAATTCAGTTTATTTAAATAGCACCAAATCACAACAAAGTTGTCTCAGGGCACTTTACAGGAACATTCACATAAAAGCCAATTAGTAAAGTTCTCTATCTAAGGAATCCAGCAGACAAGTTGATTCTTGGCTTCATTGCAGTCTCCCATCCTGAGCAAGCACAGTGGAGACAGTGGAAAGAAAAACTCCATTTTAAAAGGAAGAAACCTCCAGCAGAACCAGGCTCAGGACAAGCAGCCATCTGCTTTGATCGGCTGGTTTGAAGTCCAGCTACCCTGTGGAGAAAACTCATTTCAATCCCCTGTATCCGTGATCTCATTCTTTCGATCACTATCAAGAGATCATGACCATAGGTGAGGGTAGGAACATAGACCGACTGGTAAACAAAGAGCTTTGTCTTACAGCTCAGCTCTCTCTTCAAGTCAAGTCAAGTCATATTTATTTATAGAGCACAATTTAAAACATATAGACTGTTATCAAAGTGCTTGACACTAAGGGTAACACTAAGAAATAAAAAGCAGTAAGAATATACCTTAAAAAATTAAAACAACAGCATTAAAATGAAGACATGGAACAAGATATACTAAATCAACTCACACAGTATGAAACGCCAGAGAGAACAGATATGTTTTTAGCAGGGACTTGAACACAGGAAGGGAGGTGGCATGCCTAATGTTGGGGGGTAGGTTGTTCCACAGTTTGGGACCCATGACTGAAAACGCCCGATCTCCTCGGAGCTTCAGTCGTGTTTTTGGAACAACCAAAAGCAGCTGATCGGATGATCTCAAAGCCCGAGAGGGAACATATGGTTCCAGTAGCTCAGAGAGGTAGATTGGTGCGAGGCCATTTAGGCACTTATAGGTCAGGAGGAGAATTTTGAAATCAATCCTAGTTCTCACAGGAAGCCAGTGTAGGGAGGACAGAACTGGTGTGATGTGCTCATACCTCGGTGTACCGGTTAAGAGCCGAGCTGCAGCATTCTGGACGAGCTGTAGCCGTGAGATAGAGGCCTGGCTGACCCCAGCATACAGTGAATTACAATAGTCCAGGCGGGTTGTGATGAATGCATGGACTAGTGTCTCAAGGTCGGGTCTAGACAGCACTGGCTTGAGCTTAGCTACCTGCCGCAGTTGGAAGAAGCTTCTCTGCAGAACCGAACTGATTTGTTTGCCGAACTTAAAATCCGAGTCAAAAACCACTCCGAGGTTTTTAACAGAGTGCTTCAGATAAGGCTGAAGGGGGAGTCCAGGTTCACAGGATAAGAGGCGACAGCTGAGCTAGGGCTAAAGACAATGACTTCAGTCTTCTGGTCGTTAAAACTTGGAAAATTTGAAGCCATCCATGTCTTAATGTTGTAGTATGACATATCCTGAGATATATTCATACATTAAACGGGTTCACTCATCTTTCTGGACTGGATGATGTCGTGCTTTGAATTTAACAGAAATGTGGACGTGAGACGTTAATTATCTTTGACTCACCAAGCGAGTGGGTCATTTATTAACAGAATCAAGTTTAACACATCACACATTTACATTAATTTGGCAGAATATGAAAACAACAACATAATTAATCAGCTTTACAACCAGGAAAACCATACGGCCATGATTTTCCGTTGCTTCACCACAGACATTAATGAAAACATCTAGATTAATTTTCTAGCAGAAAGGAGAGTTTAAAGATGGAAAATTGAGATTTATCTTACAGAGAGATGTGTGAGGGAATTTGTCTGTTTTAACCAGAACGTGCACGCTCCTTCGGAAATCAGCTTGTCCAACAGTACACTTTTGGTGAAGGTCGACTTTTACCTTTTCTGAAGATAGATCAGTTCCGGCGTAGAGTCTCACTTCCAACCACTGTTCAGCGTCTCAGTGAGAACAGCTAAATACCTCGAGAGCCGTGCGAGGTTATCCAAACAGAAGTTATAATTCCCAAAATCGTCTCTGGTTCAGCTTGATTGGTTTAGCAGCATCCATGAATGCCTGCGTTTTGCATTCAGGAACTCCCAAACTCTCTGCATTCTGGATTCCAAAACTCCTGAACTCTCAAACTCTGAACTCTACTGTTGAACTGGGAAGTTGCCACATTTAAATGGGCTCTACTTCCGGTTCATTTGAGAGCTTTTTGATTGGTGGATGGACCAAAGCAGAGGTGTGGTTTGTGATGTAAGGTGTTATTAAAAGTCAAGGAAAAGATTCAAATTGTTTAAGAACAGACAGAAAGATATCATGGCAAAACCAGACTTCGTGGAGCCACCTCTCCTGTTTCTCGCTGTAAAAGTTAAACATGACATTTCTTTTCAGTAAACTTTCTAGTTGACCGAAGCTTGAACTTTAACACACTTACAACTTTGCTCATTGAAGACAGAAAATCAAGAAATGCATATTAACCTGATTTCTTCTTTGAATGAGGATTAAGGATCATTATTTACTGTTCCACAGTTAATAAAAAATGAGTAGTTCACTTCAACATGTAAACATTGTTTGAACTAACACAATTTGATTATCAAACATTTGTAAAATAGTAATGATCGTAGAGAATTGTCTTTTCCACTTGATTAATTCAAGAAAGAAAGTCTCAGGATGGGTCAAACTGTATTTCTGGATTCAAATCAATGAAATGACAGTTTCTGTCCATCTGGTCAGTTTTGACATCAGGCCTAGTCCACTACAATGTCGTCCAGACATTTGAGGAGAGGGTGGACGGAACAAGCACTGGCTGGTTTCAGTGGCAGGTAGATCTGACAGTCATCGGTGTAGCAATGGAATGGAATACCATGTTTTCTTAGGATCGACCCCAGCGGAAGCAGATAAAGCGAAAATAGAAGGGGTCCGAGAATCGAGCCCTGCGGGACACCGCAGGAAAGAGGCATTGAAGTGGATAGATTTTTACCCACCTTCACACAAAAACTCCTGTCAGAGAGGTATGAGCGGAACCAGTCTAATGCAGCACCTGTAATCCCAACCCAGTGTTCAAGCCGAGAGATGAGGATACTGTGGTCAACAGTATCGAAAGCGGCAGTAAGATTGAGGAGTACAAGAGCCACAAAATGACCAGAATCATTTGCTGTTAAAATGTCATTACAAACCCTAACCAAAGCTGTTTTGGTGCTGTGGAGCTGCTTGAAACCAGACTGAAAGACCTCAAAGATTTTGTTCTCAGTTAAAAACTGATTTAACTGAGTAAAAACTACTTTTTCCAGGATTTTGGACAGTAAGGGGAGTTTTGAGATTGGTCTGTAATTTGAGCAGGCTGAAGGGTCAAGACCAGGTTTCTTAAGTAACGGTGTGACTACTGCATGTTTGAACGGCTCTGGGACCACGCTTGTA